GACTTTTACTATTTTTTATTTTATTTAATTAAAATATAAAACATAAAGTAAACATACATGTTAAAGATTTAAACCAATATAACATATATATTTATAGCAAAGCAATAATATTATCTAGTATAATTACTTATTGTTTACATGATGATTTGAGTAATTAAAGTACATCATTCAGTATGAATTGGAAGTCTATTTCATAAATTACTATAAATTGATAATCCACATGATTCATGTATATGATATCTCTAATTTTAAAAGAATAGTAGAGACTAAAAACAAAAAAGAAAATAAAAAGCTTAAATCAGCAAGGGACAATTTGGAAAATATAAATTTGTGGTGAGGATAGTTTTGTCTTAAATAAATTAATTTTCTGCTTCTGCTTCTGCTTCTTGGAAGAAGCTAGAATTTTCTACTTCTTCCCAAAAGCAGAAAAACTGCTTCTGTTGCTGGCCAAAAGTACTTCTCCGTCTAGGCCAAACAACTTAAATTTTTTAAAAAGTACTTTTAACCTCCCAAAAGCTTGGCCAAACAGGCTCTAAATGAGTAAATCTTTTTTATTTTATTTTGTTATGGGTAATTTTATTAGGTTTGATTTGTAAATGAATTAGTTGCGTCCTGTGTACAGTGGCAAAGGTTGAACCAATAAGCTCACAAAAGTTTTGAACCTCTTTGACCATTAAGCTATGCTTTTGGGCTGTGTTAAGACGATTCAAAATATATTACAGATGCACAAAATCGATTTAGCCTTATATGTACAATCAGAGACGTGACCAAGATTTCAATCTTATGGGTTCTAGATTTTAGAACGCCGACTTCATGTGCTAGTGACTGGGTTCTAAATTTAATATTTATATATGTTTAATAAATTTATTAATGCAAATACATTATTAGAACAAAAGCTACTGGGTTTGGCCGAACTCGACTTCTGCCTCCACCCCTATATACAATATAATTTTTCGACGAATGAGGTTTGGGTAAACCCCTTCCATCCCTAAATCTGCCCCGCCTCCAAGTATCTTTTTCGTTAGGATATAAGGCAAATTTAATATATTGGATAACCATACTTTTTCATCTGGACAGTGGTGCTTTTAAACTACCAAACTAAATAATTAACTCTAAGATTTAATAAATTAATTAAAAAGCATATCACTTAAGCACATACAAGATATATGTCTCATATTTATTAATTTGATATAAATACGTGGGGTAAATTTTTATATATGAGCATATATAACTGTTTTTCGTACTTAGAACCCGTTTGTCCATAGATTTTTTCTATTTTTTCAAAAAAAAATCAAAAACATATTTGTCCGTAAAAATTTATAAGTTCTTGGCGATTTTTCGAAAATGAGTTTTTCAAAAACCAAAAATTCAAGTTTTTTAGAAAATAGTATTTTTTTTTTTTTTATACCAAATTATTGGTATCGAGTGTAGAGAAGAAACAGAGAAGTGAAGAAGAGGGAAAGAAGATCAGAGGAGAAGAGATATTCAGGGAATAGAGACAGAGAAGAGAGGTTGAGAGAGAAGAGAGGAGATACAAGGAAAAATCTGATTTGTCATTACTCAATGAAATTACAATACAGTGTTAGTCACTTTATACTCCTAACTAATCTCCTGTGAAGTATGCTGAAAGTGAAATAAAAGGGAATGGGAAATTAAACTAAAATCAAACAAACTTTCCCGCCAGAATGGCTCCCACTCACTTAAGCTACCTTCGAGCTAAGTCTCTAATTTCTGTATCAATACTCCCCTGTTGAACAGCATCCTTGTCCTCAAGGATGGTAAATATAGAACTGGGGCCACCAGGATCAAAAGGAAATTTCAAAAAAATGTTCTCCAAGCTTAGCACGCAGAAGCCGATTACTTTTGGTTAGATCTTGATACAAGGAGAATGGATAGTATATGTCCCATCCAAAAGCTTTGCTCCACTCCTTAATGGTTATCTCAATAGGAAAGTCCACCTTTCTGCGATAGGAATATACTTTCCAGCTCAATTGTATAATCATTTGGTGTAGAAACATCAACATTGCTCTAGAATCACTCAAGTAACAGAACAACATGAAGGAGCCGCTTGGATCAAACGGAAATTGATGTGGAAGACCTTGAATTCCAGGTGTTGCAGCAAGCAAGTAACTCAATTTCATAGCAAGGAGACAATGCTCCTCTATATTAATTTTAAACATAGACCAATAGAAGATGTCTAGTTGCTTATGTAGAAAGTATAGTGCAAGTTTCTTCACTAAGAGAAGAATAATATGAACATCATTAGCGTTGCATTTGCTTTCTAGTGCTGTACTATATGAGGGAATAGGGAAGAATAATATCACATATCCAGAGAAGTTGCATGTGTGCTGGTGTAAATTCTTTAAATGTTGCAGTTTTTGGAAATGCTACCTAACAGCTTGGTTCTCTAGGCCAATCAATATACCACCTGGGTCAAAAGTGAAATACAAACCATGCACAACACCATCTCTTAAACTAGCAGAATCATTGGTGTTTGACAAAAAAAATATGTAGTCCAACCATCTCAACTCTAGATATTGTAATCAAATTCCTCGCAAATGCAGCCTTCCAAAATGCCCCCAGACTAAATGTCCCTAATTTAATTTTACCTTTTGTTGGCGAATTCACTAATAACTCTCTGTGAGTTCCCTCCTTATCAATTATAACCTCTTGTATTCTTGACCAGCAGTCCCTCCAATCATATCCCACAGTTTCACAGACCAATAGAGTCCATAGGTAAGAGATGCCCTTGGTAACTTAAAAACCCATGATGCACTATTCCTGGAGTTGGAGAGATGTTGAAGTATGGTTCCTCACAGAGAAGAATATATCCTTCTAAGGAAACCTTTGCTCCAGTAGTAGACACGTTTCTAGCCATGACTACACTCCTTCCTTGAGAAGCCTTCTGGATTTTACACTCACTCATTGACCATTTGTGTGCAGACAAACCAATTGATGCTAGCTCTTTTGAGTCATCATGCAATGTAAGTTGCAAAATTGAGTCCCAAAGTAACACATTCTCCTTCATGGACAACACTATTAAGTGTAAGGAGAGGTCTCCTTTACCAATGTTCAAAAGGTTATATGTTGGAATGACAGTACCTGGACAAACAAAATCAATATACACAACAGAAGGACCACATAGCCTTGCTCCCTCTGTGACTGTAGTTTCAGGTAAGGCCACAACCAGATTGCTATAACCTTCCATTGTCAACAAATCTCCAAGTACAAAAGCTATTATTATACCAGCTAAAAGTCCAAAACTAGCCTCTTGAAGTTCAGGAACCATACGCAATTTGTAGCAGAATGTCATTAGAACCATATCAAACGTAAGTGCAATCATTTTTATCTTGCTTATAAGAACATGTTTGGCTCCATCTTCCTAAGAGGCAGTGAATTCACTGACTTTTATCCCAGAAACATTATCAAATAACCTCTTTTTTCTAATCTGCAGTATACTAGCTTCCACAAATCCATAGGCAATTTATAGCAAAGTGCCCTTAGAACTTCTCCCCAGCAGTCAACGTTTCTTAGTTCAATATCCACAACCTTAGGATACATAAACAACTGCCATCCAGTATCCCACACTCTCCTCATGTTATCAGAAGATCGAGGCAAGCAAAATCTGTTAGAAAAATCCCTCAATTTTTCTCTAACATCATTTGTCTGACTAGCTAACTTCACACAAGTCAAAGCAGTCAAACCTATTCCTGGATCCCATAGAGGAACAACCATCTCATTTCCAACTAAAACAAGAGAGAACTTGCTTTTATTTATTATGAACACATGTACTACCTTGACATGATCTCTTCCTGTCATCCCATCGAAAACCTTGTGAGCATTAGTTATCCTCTCAGCTTCATTGAAAAGTGCAGGTAAACACATGTCGTCTAAAGCATCTAAATCACTCTCAACGACACCATAAACCGGTTTTGGCATTTTATCAAGCACCTTGTGAGCAATATTCCAGCTCTCATTTTCCATGAAAAGTTCAGCCATGAATGTGTCTTCCAAAGAGTCTATATCATTATAACTTTCATTTTCCATAAAAAGCACATTTAAACATATATCCTCCAAAACTTCAGCACTCTCTATGAGGACAGAATCTGAAGGAGAAGTTTTGAGGTTAAACTTACTATTTTTGAAGCACTTCCAACACAAGCAGAGATCTTTATGTTTTAGGCGATAGTACCTCGCACTAGAATAAAAAAATAGAGCACGACTTGCAGTAGTATTCACATGACGCTTCAGATTTTACCCATTTTTCGCTCAATTTGTCTTCCAATTTCTGAAAATGCCTGTGATTCTCAGCCACTTACTCGATTGTAGGTGTAAATGCGTTTCATCAATTGAATGTTTGAGTGAACTAAGTATTTGGATAAGCTCTGCCTGCTTCCGATCCATATCCTCGCGCAAATTCTTGTTGCATTTGCTCTATCACAACTCGAAGATCTAATTGTCGAGCTCTCAAATTCTCGTACTGTTTTAGTAAATCCATAGCTGGATTGCCAGTTACCATATCCACGACTTTTCGAGCTTTGATACCAAATTATTGGTATCGAGTGTAGAGAAGAATCAGAGAAGAGAAGCAGAGGGAAAGAAGATCAGAGGAGAAGAGATATTCAGGGAATAAAGACAGAGAAGAGAGGTTGAGAGAGAAGAGAGGAGATACAAGGGAAAAATCTAATTAGTCATTACTCAATGAAATTACAATGCAGTGTTAGTCACTTTATACTCCTAACTAATCTCGTGTGAAGTATGTTGAAAATGAAATAAAAGGGAATTGGAAATTAAACTAAAATCTAACAAACTTTCCCGCCAGAATGGCTTCCACTCACTTAAGCTACCTTCGAGCTAAGTCTCTAATTTCTGTATCATTTTTTCACTCAAAAAATTATAGTAATATTTTTTCAAGTGAAATCCATATCCAAACATAATTCAAATTCCAAATATCATTTTTTAAAAATCCCAATTTCTTCTTTACTAAAGTTTTGACTCGCGTTAGAAATACTCGAGGGTTGTGGGAAGTGACTAATAAACCTGCGCTACTGCCTGCGAACGAAGAGTTCGCTTTTGCACTGATGTTTGGACTTGTTAACAATGGCGCAAAAAAGCATCTCTTTCCCATTTGTTACATCAGATTTCAGCTCCTTTTCTCTACAGCTGCAGCGACTTCACGCGCCAATGTAGTGGTGGATTTCCTGGTGAACTCACTTGAGTTCTCAACAGAAGAAGCCATTTCTACGAGCTCCAAGGTAACTCGTTCGAGAACCCGAAACTACGAGCCACATTTGTTACTTGATCTCTTTCACAAAATGGGTATGAACAAAGCCCAGGTCAAAACCCTTGTCTCTTCTTCCCCTGAATTGTTGTTTTGTAATATTGACAAAACCCTTAAACCCAAAATTAAGGTTTTACAAGAACTTGGCATATCTGTCTGACCTTGATCGTTTTATTAAAAAAAGCGATCTCTTGAAAAAAGGTTTACATACTATTTTAAAGCCTAATCTTGTTTATCTCCAGGAGTTATTGTGTAGTCTTGATTCTGTAGCTACGGTTGTTAAGAAGGAGCCTAGGTTACTTTCTAGTAATCTATCAAAAGTATTACCACCCAATATATCATTGTTGCAAAATCTTGGGATTTCACGGGTGGATATTGTGATGGCTTTTCATAGGCATCCTAGGTATCTGCTTATTAAATCTGAGTGGCTCGAGAGAGTAGTGCATCGACTGGAAAAGGACTTTCATATGCCTCGGGGGTCGCGGATGTTTCTTCATGGCATTGAAGTACTCGTGTCACTTAATGAATCGAAATTAGAAAGGAAATTAGATATTTTCCGGAGTTTTGGATGGTCTGATTCTGATATCTGCGCAATGGTGCGAAATCTTCCTTACTGTTTGACTACATCAGAGGATAAGATAAGACGCACATTGGAGTTTTTTATGATGGAATTGGGGTATGAATCTAGTTATCTTGCTTCTCATGCACCACTTTTAAAGTTAAGCTTGGAGAAGAGGATCATACCAAGGAATGAAATCTTCAAGATTCTTAAAGAAAACGAGCTGATAGAACGGAAGCTAAGTCTGTACACTGTTGTCACACGTACTGAATCGCAGTTTCTAGAGAAATATGTGCTGCCTTTCAGGGCTAAGATACCCGAGGTGTATGATTTATACATGAAAACTAGAAGCTAGAAGAGAAGTCTTTATAGTGGAGACAGTGGCTGCGGAGCATTGATTGTCTAGTAGGTTTATTCAGTTCCTTGATAATATTGCACTTTCGTTTCCATGCTCTTCTCAGACTTATTACTGCTTTTTTACTTTTCATAGCTGATGGTCCATCATTGAGCTATGAATACTGAAAATTCAGGCGCGTCTCATCTTCAATCAAACTGTGCTTGTTTAAAGAGAAGTAAATGAGATTTAAACTTTTGAATGCTTATCTCTGTCAGGTTAGTACACTTCGTGCTTGCTCTGAAATTTCTTTTTCTGTTGTCTTTGCTCTAGGATAATTTTGCTCCTCAATTATATTTGACTTGAGACTTCTTTTCTTGTGTTGCCCTGTCCTGGTGACTGGGACTAAAATGTTCATTCTGTCTTGGAAAAGCACATTCTTCAGCTTTGACAAGTGTGACCATGATGTTTCTACATGTAACATGTACCTGTTGACAGTTATTATAGGAGCCGTATACCATTGCCTTTTGTCAAGATACAACAACAACAACAACAACAACTACTACCCAATAAAATCCCACCAAGTGGGGTCTGGGGAGGGTAATGTGTACGCAGACCTTACCCCTACCCCGATAGGGCAGAGAGGCTGTTTCCGATAGACCCTCGGCTCAGAAAGATGGAAATAAGAAAAACAAGAAAAGACAAACTCCAGTAGAAATCGTAATAGTAACAGAAGCATAACAATCAAAAGATGGATGACATGCAATAACAGTAACCAGGCCCGGGGCTTAGATAAACATCAAGTATAGTGTGTATTCAACATAAACTGCAAGCCGTCTAAGGCCAACCCTAATCCTACCCCGCCTCACCCCCGGAAAGAAGTAAGAAAAGTTCTACTACCCCCTAACCTACAACCCTAATGCTTGACCTCCAGACTTTCCTATCAAGGGCCATGTCCTCGGAAATCCGCATTCGTACCATGTCCTGCCTGATCACCTCTCCCCAATACTTCTTAGGCCTCCCTCTACCTCTTCTCGTACCCACCACGGCCAACCGCTCACACCTCCTTACCGGCGCATCAAGGCTTCTCCTCTGCACGTGTCCGAACCATCTGAGCCTTTGCTTCCCGCATCTTGTCATCCACAGGGGCCACACCCACCTTCTTCCGAATATCTTCATTCCTAATCTTGTCTATCCTAGTGTGCCCGCACATCCACCTCAGCATCCTCATCTCCGCTACCTTCATCTTCTGGATATGTGAGTTCTTAACCGGCCAACACTCTGCCCCATACAACATGGCCGGTCTAACCACAACTCTATAAAACTTACCTTTGAGTGTCAGTGGCACTTTCTTGTCACACAAAACCCCAGATGCAAGCCTCCATTTCATCCAGCCCGCCCCTATACGGTGAGTGACGTCCTCGTCGATCTCTCCGTCCCCCTGAATCATCGACCCAAGGTACTTGAAGCTATCTCTCTTCGGGATGACCTGTGATCCAAGCCTCACGTCCCTGCCTACTTCCCTCGGCTCAGCGCTAAACTTGCACTCCAGGTACTCTGTCGTAGACCTGCTCAATTTGAAACCCTTAGACTCGAGGGTCTGTCTCCAAACCTCCAATCTCGCGTTAACACCGGCCCTCGTCCCATCAATTAGAACTATGTCATCAGCAAATAGCATACACCATGGCACATCCCCTTGAATATGGTGTGTCAATGCATCCATCACCAAGGCAAATAAGAACGGGCTAAGCGCAGAGCCTTGGTGTAATCCCATAACAACCGGGAAATGGTCTGAGTCGCCTCCCACAGTCCTAACCTTAGTCTTAGCTCCATCATACATGTCCTTGATCGCTCTTATGTAGGCTACCGGCACGCCCTTAGCTTGAAGACATCTCCAGAGCACCTCCCTAGGAACCTTGTCGTACGCTTTCTCCAAGTCAATAAACACCATGTGCAGATCCTTCTTCTTATCCCTGTACTGTTCCACCAACCTCCTTATAAGGTGGATAGCTTCCGTAGTGGAGCGACCTGGCATGAACCCAAACTGATTGTCGGAAATAGACGTCGTCTTCCTCACCCTCACCTCCACCACCCTCTCCCTGACTTTCATGGTATGGCTCCTTTTGTCATGATACATTGGTATTAAAGTGAAAATGGGGCCCCAAAAAGAAAAGAAAAACTGACTGTTAATTGAGATTCAGATGCAAGCAAGTTTGGGATGAATTCTAGAAAAATTACTTCACTATATCAACTTTAGTTTTGGTTTCAGCTTTATTTCATTTTTGATGCCTTAGTCATGTGTAGGGGTGCATAATTTCGATATTTTGGTATTCGGTACATTACTTGATTTAAGCTTTTAAAATTTTTGGTATTTGGTACGGTATTCGATTTTTTAGAAAGAAAAAACAAAATGAAATACCGAATACTGTATCGAAATACATAGTTACATTGACAATACACATATATCCTATTACTCTTCTGTCCCATTTTATGTGGCACTCTTGCCTTTTTAGCCAGTCTCAAAAAGAATTACACCTTTCTATATTTAGTAACAATTTAACTTTAAACTTTTCACTTTACCCTTAATGAGATGACTTATAGCCGCAGAAATTTCTATGGCTCTTTCTTTTTCTATTTAAACTTTGTGCCCAGTCAAACATCCTCACATAAATTAGGGTGGGGAGGGAGTATAACAATAATATAAAAGGGCTAAAATTTTACTGCCTTACCCTTAGTTTTTTCTTTTAATTTCCAACTTCATAAATCGTTCCATTCACTCCGTCAGAGTTGATGCTTGGTTTTTGATTTCTATCCAATTTGATTACTTTCATTGTTCATCTTGTCATGCTGAAGTGTCCACTCTACACCAAATTTGAGAAATGAAGAATTGTGGTGATAAAGTGCCTTGAAGTTACGTTCATACTTTAAAGTATACGTTGAAGTGTACTTATTAACAATTATTTCCCTATTATATTTTTGGTTTTGTATTCTCAAATTGGTGAAGGTTTCTTCTGGTTCCTTTCTGTTCTACCATCCACTCACCCTTAAAGACAAAAAAGAAAGTTAGAATTCTTTATCCGAGCCGAACAAACTGAAGTTACCGATCCGAAAAGAAAAAAATCGAACCACACCAAATTTTATTAGGTTTGGTATTGGTATAACATTTTAAGAAACCGAACATTGAAAATACCATACCCAACCGACTAATGAACACCCCTAGTCGTATGAAATTTGGCATTGGTTGTCTCTAATAGCCTGTTTGGCCAAACTTTCAAAATCTGCTTATTTTGGAAAGTGCTTTTTTGTCGGAAGTGCTTTTCAAAAAGTATTTTCAAGAAGTAGCAGTTCGTGTTTGGCTAGTTAATTTGAAAAGCACTTTTGCCAATATTACACAACAATTTATACTTGGCCAAGTTTCCAAAAGTGCTTCCGGGGAAAGGATAGCTACTAAAAAGTAGCTTCTGCTACTACTCAAAAGTTGTTATTTTTTTCTTGAAAGCTTGGCCAAACACCTCAACTCTCTAAAATATGCACTTTTCTTAATTAAAAAAAGTACTTTTGGATTTCTAAAAGCTTGGCCAAACAAGCAATAACTAATGCACATTTCTGGGAAAATGAGGTAGTCCGTGGATGTAAAAAGTAAAAGAGAACCTGATGTTTCGTCTGAAGTATATTTCATAAAATCAGCTTATGTGTCCAAATATGTTAGTGCTACTTAACCATCGTCTAAATGGACTCATCATCCGTATGATATCCAGTCTTTTCCTAATTGGAGATTACTGTACATTATTCAGTCGTCGTACTATGTTATGCAGCTGCCTAGGCCTTCTGTTCTCTTAATCCTGTGAAGCGCCTCTGTTGGTATTGGAGTATTGGTAGCAAATGGCTTCTCTTAGTTAACACGTCTTACGTTTGTTGTATTGTAGTACTGGAACTTAATTTGAATTATATCATAGGGATAACTGTCGGATATTGACCTGATTTACTAGAACAATCTTGGTTTTTGTGTAAGCTAGGTCTTTAATACACTATCCTGTCATGGTCTGAACCAAAGTGTTAAGAGAGCTACATGCTACCTTTTACGAATGAGATGCGCGAGGTGTTTATGCCTTTAAAAAATAGGTGCTAAGAGATAATTCTTTTTGGTAAGATATGCAAGTTAGAGCAATTCTTTTTCTTTGTTACTATCAATCAATTAAAACTTAAAATAGAGAATGTTTCCATTTCCTTGCGCTGAGATGTTGTTGTAAATGTTGAAGGAAATAGCAGAAATTTCTTAGTTTCCTTTCCCTGAATTATTGATTGTATGAATGCATATCTCAATCACCACAGCATATTCCATAATTCCATTCTCCTTTTTTCCTGTTGGCTGAAACCTCAACCACTTTCTGCCATATGATAGTATTACTAAATTCCTAATTAATTTGGAGCTTCTCCTCTGCATTGCTAGGCAGAGAAGTGGAAGGTCTTTAGTTTATCTTGGGACAGTATCTTCTCTCACTGTCCTGTGGGCATGCGAAGCTTATTTAGCGCAACTAGAGCTGTAATGATTGTATTGTTGGAAACTCATATAGATAACAGCTTTTTAAAAGAAGCCCACTGGCAATGCATGCTTTGTTATTGAAATAGAGCAGCACTAAGAGAAAGCAGCCTAAAAAGAAAAGAAGTGTTGCTTAAAATAACAATTGCAAGAAGCTTCTGTTCAGGTCTGCGCCAAATTACATGACAATTACTTGGTGTTACTCTCCTTCAAATCACATTTGTAAGAAAGCTTGGCCATGGATTCTGGATAGCTATCCATGAAATTTGGCTGTGGAGGCACTTTGAGTGAGAATGCCTGAGGATTCCTCAAGTTGACTTCTCTGTGTTATTTGTTTTGCATATGAAAGGATAAGATTCACAAATAGCCACATTTCAGCGCCGGTGATTGAAAAATAGTCACTGTCATAGAGTCCAAACTGTCATGTAGTTTCACCTGTGGAATTTGAAACTCCATGACAGTGGCCTTTTTGCAATTACATGAGCTGAAAAGTGGCTAGCCCGTGCTATTACTACCATATGAAATTGACAATGTAGAACACACATCCTAGTGCTTATGCGGCATGTATTCTTACCTTTTGCTTTTGAATTCTTCCAACAGTTGTAGCTTTGATCCTCTTTGTATGACTTCTTATTTATTTTGCATCACAAAACTGTTAAACAAGGGTACTTTCAGTAACCAGATCGATTCAATCTTTGAGAACATTGTAACTAGGGTGATGTCAAATATTCAAAAGACTCGCGCTGAGGATTTACTAATCAGTTCTTCCTTTTTGGTCTATGCTATTGTTAATTCTGTCATTGATTCTTTCAATTTGGTCTACTCAACTCTTCATGTTCCCTGAGATTATTGTTTTACTGCTGTGAAGGTGAGGCCATTGCATTCTGGTAACACCTCTGTACTTAACAGTCTCAGCAATTGTTGTTATCAGAGTATCAGCCAGCAAAGACAGAGATACAACAACAACAACCCAGTAAAATCTCAAGTGAGGTCTGGGGATGATAGAGTGTACGCACATCAAAGACAGAGATAGGCATTACTAAACACTACTTACTATGTTTGGCGAGAAGCATTAATTTTACAGTACTCCCTTTGTCTTATTTTATGTTGTATTGTTTTTTTATTTGTCCGTTACAAAAAGAATGATACATCAGATTTAAAAATAATTTAATTATATTTTCACCTTTAATGGTAATAGCCACTGAAATATCATGACATGTTTAAGATAATTAGTTTTAATATTATTTATTAAACTTCGTGATAAGTCAAATTTCATCACATAAATTGGAAGGGAGGAAGTAATAAGCACTTGGTGTGTTTCGTAACTGTTTATTGTGCTCTGATAGTGGATAATGTTCTCTTTTATCCAATCTCCCCTTGAAAATGTTACACCTTTCATTGCTGAGGAGGGATTTTATTGATCAACGAAAATTGAGATTGAGTTCCTTGGAAATTCTGGCAAGTTAAATATGATTATGACAAATACAATGAAGATAGACTACGTACACGCTGCTCTGCTTCTGCAAATTATATAATATGATATAACCTTCTGATATAAGTTTTATTTGACCATAGTCTTGGAACTATAGGCAGTAACAGAGCTCTTTCATTGGCCAATGGCACAGTTTTATGATATAGCAATGGAGTAATTGATGATTAGGCTGTCCTATTTGCAGATTACTTCTCTTTTGGCCTCTAATGTGATATGGAAAAAGCACTCCGGTGCACGAAGCATTCGCGTTCACGCAAGGAACGTAGAAGGGCCGCACGTCAAAGGGTGTATATAGGCGGCCTATCCTAATGCAAGATTAGTGACTAATTTCATGGCTCGAACCCGTGACTATTAGTCAAACTGAGACAATTTGCTGTTGATAGGAAAAGGGATCCGCAAAAAGAAGAGGCGATCACTATGATTCGCACTATGGACATGGTTACGCAGATGTGTCACAACCCTCTTCCTATATCCGGGTTTGGATTGGCAATGTGAGCAAAACTAGCATAGGCAAGACCTAATGTTCAACAAATCATAGCAAAATGTCTACAAGAACATTTGTAAGCATAACAATGGGTTTGGCCTCCCCCTCTAAGACAACCTCTACCCGCCTGTTTGTTTTCCACTTCTAGCTGGTTGTGCAGGTGGACTAGCACCTGGAGAGGGAACCATTTGGTATAAAGCACTCGGAAGAGGGGGTGGGGGGGGGGGGGGGATGAAAGAAAAGGAACCTAAGAAACATGTTTAAGCAATTGAAGTACTATGTTGCTTCATCTTAAAATGATTCTCAACGTATTCCAAAATACAGTGTTGATTATGTATGTCCTTTCAAGTAATAACAAATGTAAGTAATATTATCTATGCACTAAGAAAGTTGGACAATCTTCCAGTGTTTTCTCCCACAGAACTTACTAAACACTTTCACCCATCCTAAACCAGAAAATAGGAAATAAAAACTAATTTTCTTTCCTCATCCTCTTCTAAAATAATCTTCATTCACATTAGGTGGCCAGATTGCTGTGGTATTATCTGGAAATTCTCTGAACTCTCTCTTCAAGTGACAGGCATGCAAAACTGTGGCGCAGCGTTTCAATATTGCTTCATTTAGGCAATTAATCACACTTGATATTTCTGTAAATCCTCCTAACGAACAAATTAGAGCCGAGATATCCTACAGCACCTGGAGTTCCAAACAAATCAAGAAAGAATAAAGTCAGAACTTAAGTCCATGACAGGGATAAGAATTTAATTGAGACCCGCCAGATTCTGCATCGACTTGAGACATACAAAAAATAAATAGCTTACCGCAAAGGATACCAAGGCCAAGGCAGAACATCATAGTGTAGCCAAAGTAAAAGCTGGTCTGGAAGAAACCGGACATCTTAGTCTTTACATGATAGTAATATATCGCATATAAATACACATAGAGAGCTGTTGAGGCAGCAGAGAAGAACGAAGTCCACTGCCAATGGTAGTTCTCCGCATTCAGCAAGAAATATGTGCCCACAATTGTCACACAAACAGTGACAATGATCAGGATAATAAATACAAGAAGCATAAAACCATAGACATAGTAGACCTGCGCAACAACAAAAAGGTCAGCAGCCAAATACAAATGTAAAACACATTATTTAGAAAAACAAAATAATACAGCTACGCAGCAGAAATGCAATAGATAAATAGTACAAAACTTCCAGCAAATTAACAGACAAGAAAGTAGTTATTGTCGATGGCATGAAAGATAAGGACCATCCAAGTCCGCTACATATTAAATGCTCTAAGATCGTTGCTGTACAATGTTGGGTTTCCTACTTTGAAGAAGTAACCATTGCAAGTTGTCCTTTATGTGTTGAAATGATTTGTCTAATAATCTAGGGAAAAAGAAAGGAACTATACCAAAAAACATTAGTAGATCAATGTTTCAGAATCTCAAGCAACTAGAGAAATGGTCACCAGCATCTATAGGCAAAGACATTGATATGTAATGCAAGTTTGTCTCTGTTGCACTATGCCTCATTATAAAGTTCAAATATGGTTTCCAACTTAAGCTTGGGCAGTTAGAATGGTTTCACTATCCATGTCGGAAGTAGTGTCTGACAGTAAACACACCGGACAGTCCTGGGGCATGCCGTCATGCCCAAAACAATGTTACATCTAGGTACCTTTTCTATTTTATAATTTTGACCAATGGAAACTTATTCGCACATGTCAGTCATAGGTCTTAAGTGTGCACTCACTCCTCGAACAGTTTTTAGCTGTCAATTAGTTCTTAGAAACTATATATGCATGACATGTATAAACAATCACAGAACGGTATATAATCATACGCAAAAACAGTTCTTAGGCAATAAAATTATTTTGTCTCCGACTAATTCAATGCTCATAGTGGAAAACCGAGTAGTGAAGCAAATGAACATCTAATAAAGTTGAAAAGATTGTCAAGTAAAATAGTGCAAGGAACAATATCTTGTTAAAATGCTATTTCCATTTAGCCCAAAAAGAAAAAAGAGGAGAGAAAAATTACCTTGTAGTTCCAGAAGGAAGTGAAGACAAAATACATCTCAATGAAAATGCTCCCAAAGGGAAGAAGACCCCCCATCAGAGAAATTACAGATGGTGTGAGGTACCATTTCTTCTCAGGGATAGGACGAGGTATGGTCTTAACACGGCACGGATTGTTTGGTGTACCACTCCAGTTTCTTCCTACAACAGTACCAAGAAGCGCCAGAGGAAATGAAATAAAAGCCCAAATAACAAAAACCACCACCATTGTTCCAAAGGGAATAGCAGCTAACGATCCATAAAATATAGCAATCGTGTTTAGAATGAACCCAATGCCAAAGCACATAAAGGGGAAAAGTGACGCTGTAAGGATCATCGACTTTATCCACTTTTTACCTGACAATATTCAAGGGTAAAAAAACAACCTTCAATCACTTAATGATTAGAGATAATTGATTGAATCAACTGAAGAGACGTCAGCTGCAGAAAGATAACATACCACCATTACGAGAGTACAGGCCACCACTCACGTATCCGGCAATGAATGATGTAAGAGCATAACATACGATAAAGGTTGTAGTAATAGCTCCTCTCCTGAGCAATATAAAGTACAGCAGATAAGCACAATATTGAAGTATTAGGGGGTGAAAAATACTCCCTCAGTATGTGACATTATTTAACCATGGCCAGTTATGTGATTTTTATACTATATAGGTAGCAGTGTAAGAAAATTTAACTAATATTTGAAAACTTAGCTTACTGAAAAAAAAAAATCAAATCCAAACTATAGTAAGTTAGTTAGACAAATTTGAGTTCTTTAAACTTGTGCTAGTTGTATAAGATTTATATTATTACCCAAAATAGTAAAAAAATGTTATACCCACATGAGAAGCACTGTAAATGCCAAGTACTGGTGATAAAATAGTAAAGATTTTAAGCACTGACAAATTTGATTCACTAGGAAATATCCAAATCCATGTACTGGAACTCAAATAGAGAGGATGAAGATTATTAAAGTGTATCACTATTTCATTAACACCCCCACCCCACCCCCCCCCGACCCCCACAAACCCAAAAAAAAAAACAGGTTAAAGAGGGAGCCAGAGGTAATGAACCGGAAATAAACTCTACCTAGAACCACAATCTTCAGATTTAGTACATATAATTAGAGGGGAAGGCCGTAGACATACCCAATGTATAACATTCCAACAATAGCAAATATGATCACAAGGAGAACAAGTGTTGTAAGCTGAGCGCCAGTGCCAACAACAGCTGAAAGCAGGGCCAAATTTGGTACAGGCCGGAAGACATCACCATGGACAAGTTTCCAACCAGACTCTTCAATTACATCCCTCTCCTGTACAATTAGTTTAAATTTTTGATAAACTATCAAAAATTTGCCACAGACATGAGAAAAGGCCTCAAATAGTACCTTAAATTTGGGTAAAGACTCAAAATTGTCCTTTAAATATGCACTGACTGGAGCAGTAACAGTTTCTAAGAATGGTGCACATTTGGTCCTGGTGGATGGAATCTATTAGCTACTAATATCACCCCTTACTTTTTGCCATTCAATACAAAATAATCTATTTCTAAACAAAAGCACCTCTCTCTCAACGTATTGACTTGGATGGAGTACTTTCATCTTTCATGAATCACAAAAAGATTGTTGCTGGTGATTCCATTATGTTCCTGAGGTCCGAAAATAGGGACCTGTTAAGCAAATAAGGGAGTGCACTGCAGGTGGATTAAAGACTTCTTCTGGGTGGAATTAGCTGGGGGAGAATAGATTGGTGCCATACCGAGAGTTTTCCACATTCCTCAGAGAAGACAAGAATAAATTGAATGAAAGCAATACTGGGTGCTTGATAAGCAGGGGAAAGGTGTGAAGGCAGAATCAGTCCTGGAAAGAATGCAGCCAATGAAACAGCCTTTGAGGTGATTTACTACCATTGTTTGAAAGCAGCATTGTAGATCTGTCGGCGATGGCTTTTGAAACTGAAGAACATTTCATGGATAAGCTGGCTAATTAGAACTAAACCTTCTTTTCAGGTTGTTGATCCACTCAATGTGGAGGCTTCTTCATATTTGTTTTTTCTAGGAAGAAATGACCCAAAGCCACATAGCTTATGCAAGAAGATCACGCCATTCTTTTTATAAGTAATAATAAAGAATTTTATTATTTGTAGGGTGCAGTTACAAAAAGTAAATATAGCATGAAAGAAGATGCAAAAAAATCTACAAAAGCTCTTCCAACCCGAAAGCCAACAATTGGCTAAAAATTGAAGTCGGCCAAGAAGAACATTAGATGGTATCTTTAATTGTGTAAACAGAGGAGACCCATCTCTTGTAAAATATATAGCAATTTAATTGTGTTAACAGAGGAGACCCATCTCTTCGAAAATGTATAGCAAGTTCGGGAAGTTTTTATGGTGAATAGTGAGTGTCTGGTAGCAGAAGCTAACATGGCCCCTTTTTCGGGAAAAAGAAGGAAAAGAAAAACATGGCCGGTTTCACTAAGAAAGGTGAAATGTGTTGTCGGGTTTTTTTTTTTTTTTCTTTTTCTGAAGTAAGGTGTTATATTACTGGCATGAAGAAGATGCAATAAGTACAAGAGTAGATGTGTTAGCACCAGTTATAAAAAGTTCTATATCTAGTGCAGGGAGCTAACCAGAAAATTGGCTGTTGGGCCAGAATGAGAGAGCTAATGAAGTCTAGAAAGGGGAACACATTATTTACAGGGGATAGATTACTACAACCAAAAAGATTCATTAGGCCTCTAGCTTTTACAGATCAGTTAGGAGTTGAAATGCCATCAAAGCATCTGCAATTGCAATTTCTATCAGGAAAGGGTTATTCTGTATTGGGCGGCAACAAATACGGGTAACATAAACAGCTAACAAGTTCCATCTATCAGGACCAAAGTGCACCATTTTTAAAACTAGAAGGACTACTAGTGCCCCACTATATATTTAAGGTACGATTTTGCATCAACGCTCGAACTTAAGGGACTATGGGCTTTTCTCACACAGACATCATGCAAAGACATGATTCAATATGGGCTTTTCTCACACAGACATCATGCAAAGACATGATTCAAGAGAAGAAGAAGCATTACCAGAGACTCCAGATCATCATCTTCACGGGCATATTTAGCATAATCATTACGAAGAGTGCGCATCAGAATCATAGACACCAAGCCAGTGAGGAAAATAACCATCATGAACGAATTGAAAACAGAGAACCAGTGAATCTGCATAAAGAATAAGAAGTTAACAGAGGCTGGCAACAGAAAGAGTAACTTGGAGATACTCGCGTTTGTTTGTGCGGATTTCTCCGTTAGTCATTTGTTTCAACAAGGACCAGATGACAATGAAGTTTCAAAACACACATGAGACAAGAAAGCCACAAGGAATTTAAATTCTACGACTTCTCTCGGGGCAACAAAGTATTGCCTCTAATCATATCAGTAAAGGAAATGTGAACAGTTATCTGTTGGAAATAAGTATGGATTTGTCTACTGGACGCATTTTCAGTTATCAAAGTTGTTCTTTCATATAATTGACCCGGTCATAGCTCATAGAGGATAGAGCCAAATGAACAGCGCATAAGACTGCAATCACCATTTCATTGTTCAGTTGATTCTTTCAATAAAAGCGATACGAGTGCAAGGTGAGGACCATCGATGGTGATTAGCATGTACCTGGTGTTCAAAAAAGGGGTAATCCAGGTATACGTCAAACCGGCGTTCATAACTAATATTTGTGGGAACCCATTTTACAGAGTACGTCATGCCCAAGAGTCTTCCTTCCTCCAATGGCTTTGGGCTCTCTTGAGTTAGGTTGACATGAATGATCTGTCGGAGTTAAAAAGTTAACTCAGCATAGCAACATTAAGTTGCAATAGGTATGAGAAGTGACCACAAGAGTGAAGATCAATAATACATTACCTGGTCTCCATTGTATTGAATAAGAAAATTCTTGTGTGTGTAGAGCACATGCTTGGTGTCTCGGCTTCTATCAGGAAGCACTTCACCGACGAAACCTGAATTTCCATTACACCATAATGAATTTCAGTTATGTTAAACAGTACCTAGTTATCAGAATTCACAAGACAAAAACTAGCTGAGCACATACCCCATAATGGCAAATCGTCTGATGCAGGAAGCCAAAAGTCATAACCACAAAATACATACAGATCACCGGATACAGTAAAAAGGTCAGTACCTTAGCAGGTCTCATCTAGCAGCTATGTGTTACCGTTAAAAGAACTTTAAAAAAAGAAAAAACCATAGGACATATTAAAAAAATATATACCCATAAAAAACTCAAACCAATATGAATTTTCGATTGCATCCTTAAATTGTGCCACTTTTGCTGCATCCAATGCAAGATCACATATTGTGCTTTTCTCCACATCTCCTGTTGTAATAAAAACGGAACATGGTGAAAAAGATGCACTTTTGAGGAATAACAAATCCATTGTGAAATTTCAAAAAAACATACTTTTGAACTTTATGTCAATTCGGCTATCAATAAGCTCATTCCCACCAAGAACCTCGCCAAGGCCACCCCACTTGTGACCACCATCACCAGGGTGACAGAATGGAAGGCTGTAATAGTTGTACGTCTCTTGTGGATTATTATACGGTCCCACTTTATTTACCCAAAGAGTGACAGGTTCATCTGCTTGATACTGCAGCAAATAGCAGAAAAGACATCCATACCATCAGATAAACTCAAGCCACGTTCTTACCAGCAAAATTTTTGTGAAACCAGATTTTCCTATCTGAGTTTAGAGACATTAAAAGAGAAGTCTTTAGGCTCTCATAAGATATCCTAACCGAACAGCATTTGCGTTGATTGTTGAATGTTAATTAGTATCAACTATCGCATATGCTTTATTAGGAGGGCAGCAGAAGGTATAGAAGAATAAAAGAACAAGTAGCAGAAGACATGGTGAAACAAGAAATATTCAAAGGAAGGCGATGAGTAAATGCGCCAGTTTTGTGCTTACAGAGTGTATGGACTAAGGAGGAGTGAAATAAAGGTTTCATACCCTTCAACTTTTGAAAAGATTAGAATTATAAGAAGATATATCTGGTTAGAGCTTATCTATCGATCTTCCTTTCCATTTTGCATTCTCGTTCCCTTCTTTGATCTAAACATATTAAAGAGCCGAAGACACTGTTTTGAGAGGTGAAAAAGCTTAAGGCAAGGTAATCCACAAGTGAAAAGAGATCTTCTTTCAAGTAATAATGATTTATAGTTTCTCAATTAAAAATAACCTCAAAACAGAATAATCAGGTAAAATTGAGAACAGATTCAGAGAGAAAGGGCCAAGGGGAAACTTTGAATTCCGTTGTTATACTTCCAACAAACATAAGAGTCCCAACTCACATAAAAAGCGTCAAACAAAATGCTCTAGCCAGCTAAGCGAAGAGTTACTACTCTAACCTTTGTCTCAACAATGCTCAAAATCATTAACAGTATGAATGTAAACACATTCACAGCTTAAAAAGAAAATGATCATAAAGCATCCATTTTGTAAGATTCAAATCATTATCCAACTAGACCTTCAGCATCAGATCATTATAAAATAAAAGGTCAATTTTTTCTTTTATAAAACACAAAATTATTACACACTTAGAACCTATAAACATAAAATCTTAATAAAATTACCATAAAACATCCAGTCTGTAACCTTCAAATCACTACCCAACTACAATTTCAGTTCATCAAATAGCATTATCATACAAAGTCTCTATTTATTTCCACAAAGCTCAACATCAATAAAAACTAAGCATTTACACATAAATAGCAGAAAAGAAACGAATCATAAAACCCTCTGATGCATAATAGAAGCTACGGATTCGGCCCAACTGATACACGTGTTAAGAAACCTACTGATTACAAATATTAAAGGTCGAACTCAGTAACTCAAATGGTCAGTGGGTTCAGTGGCAAACACGTAAAGTTCAAATCCCGGATCGGCCTCTGACTACAGAAAATGCAGTTACATAAACAAATAATAAATAAAAAAGAAACACATCATAGAGTTAACTCAAGATCCAAGGATGGTGAACCCCAAAAACAAAAACCCATTTAAATATTCAGAAACTAAAGTGCATCAAATTATTAATTCACTGAAATTCCAAGATTTTGCAAAATTTTCTACCTTGGCAAAAGATGGGTATGCAAGGAACAGAGAGGAGATGATGAAAATAAAGAGGGATCGGACGGTGGAGTGCATTGCTGTGAGATCTTGAAAATTTATTCTTGAAACGTCTCTTTTGTTTATCAAATACGGATTCTTTTTGCTCTGTATCTTTTATTACTGTTCGACAGAATGTAAGCTCTCTCTCTCGCTGTGTTCTTTGGATCTGAAGTTATGAATTGGTGTTTGGGAGGAGGGAGGAATTTGAGAGCTCAACGACTCGACAAAGCTGCAAATCTGAGTTTTTGTCGTTTCAAGGAAACTGTTTGGAAAAACCAAAGAGAAAAAATAAATGATGAAAAAGGAAAAAAAGAAATTGTGAGTAGTGGGCTAAAAGGTAATTACCGTAACTTATAAAAAAGTACTATATACTACTTCTACGTAACACTAATTAAAACCCTGTCTCAACATGTGAGTGACGTATGTGTTAGGTTTTTTTGGCTTAAAGTTGTGTGAATAGAAAATAAAAGGAAACATAAATATTTGAATTTATCTTCTTTGAACATTGTCCCATGTTAGAGAAAAAAAAATTTAATGAGTTTATATATAATTATACTTCTTCTAGTTCTTAAAGAGTTGTGAAGAGGCAAGTCACATGTCGATTTTGGATTTGGTCTTTTTTGGATCAAATTTATTTGTTAATTTAAAGATTATATTAATATTTTTAATCCAAATAAATCGCTTCCATAACGGTAATATAGTTTTCCCTCTCGTTTTATTTTCTCATTATCTGTTCAGGTATTTTACGAAAATAGCTGTTACATAAAATAGCCACTTTGGAGTGGTAGCCTGAAATGAAAGGTTGCACATTTTCATTTGGATCCCACTTTTTGGCTATAAATACATGTCCTTTCCCTTAGATTTTTCTTATGAAATTTCTGAGTACTCTTCTTCCATCTTGCATTATTTTCTAACAAATAAAGTAAGTATGATTTGTTGTCGCTTTATTGAGTTTGTCGAACACTTGTTTGAAGTTGTGCATGGGTAAAATCGGGGATAATATCTACCCCGATTCCCGATGAGAAAACGGAAGAAGGGAATGGATGCATGAGATTGTAATTGAGGTTAGAAACCCTTCGTATCGAGATCGAGGAAGGGTGAACGATGTACTCGTCATCGGGTATGATAGAGCGACGCGCCTCGGGCCAAGAATGAGTTCTAAGACCTCGGGAAACACAGTAAATAGTTACAGACGACGGATAGAGGGACGTGATATTCTCACCCAACCGGATATCACGGCGCGTATCTCGCTCGATGTCGGTTATGGATCAGTAATTAACGATAAATGAAGATTTTTACCTTTTTTAGACTTATACTAGGGATGAAACTTCCCTACTATATAAGGGGAAAGTTTTCCTTTTGTAAGACACACTGTAACATGCAAATCCAAGCAATACAAACTTATTTTTCTGCCTTTTAGCTACTATTAAAGTTCTTATTCACTTGTCCTGTTCTTCATTCACGACCGGGCTCGAGCCGAGAGTCTGATCGAGGATGAAGTCACTGTTCAGTCTAAGTCCAGGCGTGGCCATAACTTTACAATTGGTTTGATCGCTTATTTCTGTAGACATGTGATTGTTGACCCTCCCCAAGATTTTTCATATTTTAGCATGTAAATATTTAATTTAGGCCTAATAGCGCTATTTCAATTAATTTTGACGCTTTTACTTTATTTTAGTACAAGAAAAATGAAAATTACAAAAAATATTTTAGTTTGTGCATTTTTCATAAATTCAAAAAACAACACAAAAATAGTACCTTATTTTAATCTTTATATAATTTCGAAAACAAAAAAAATATATAGTTTCATGTCTAGTTTAATTAATTAGGATTAGCTTTGACATTGTGTAGAATTTCTATCTTATTTTTAAAAATACAAAAAAAAAAAAAAAAGAGTCATTGTGTAGTCTAGGGACCCTTCTAGACTCTTCTTTGGGATAAAAAATAAATAAAAAAGACCCTAAAGACTTAACACAAAAAACCTAGGGACTAATTGACAAATAAACAAAATTACACCTAGACCTAGACTCTACCTATAAATAATACTTAAAAAAAATCTAAGGGGGAGCTGCGCAATACCAAGAACCCCACCCCCCTGTATTTATCATCTTCCTCACCCCATCTTCTCACAAGAACGAGCAGTCATAAACGACCCCTTCCCCATCTGAATTCCCTCATCTTCTTCATGGATTTCAGCCGCTGAACACACACGCACACACAACAGAGGATGGACTGGCTCGGCTATTACAATGAGAAAACATTTAAGATGTTTCATCTTCTTTCGCTCAGTTTCATTTTGAAGAAGTAAATCGCAACAGAAAGAGAGATAGAGTCTCTTTTGTTTGTCGTTTGAGGTTGAGTCCATTTTTGGAACTCGTTTGTTAAATCTGTCCGAAGCTCTGTTCGTTTGTTGCTCATTCCGAGGTTGGAGATTTCCGACGAGGTTTTCCGTTTGAGGTTCTATTCGGCGAGTTAAGCTTAACTAAGATTCGAGGTTGCCGGAGGCGTCGAGGTACTGTCCGTTGGTTTTCCGGTTCGATTTTCACTGACTTCGTTTGAAGCTGTATCGATTTCTGACTGTAATCGTCGCTTCGTTTCAATCCGTGTAATTGCTGCATTTCAATTAATCGGAAAGCTAATTCCAGGTTACTTCTAATCTCCTTCATTTCGTTTTGGATCTGATATTTGTGGTTATAGCTGTTGCACTGCTATTTTAGGATGAGTTTGAATTTCACGTCATTTCGTTTTGGATCTGACGTTTGTGGTTGTAGCTGTTGCACTGCTATTTTAGGATAAGTTTGAATTTCACGAGCTACTGATGGGTGTTGATTGGTTAACTTGGGACGTTTAGATACTAGTATTACTTTTACAAGTCAGTTTAGGCTCAAATTCGTAAAACTTGCTTAGACGTTCTGGTCTTTGGTTTATGTATATATATATATATAGTTTTAATGCCATGTACGCATGGTGGTAAATAGAAATCATGTCTGATTTAGGATTTACACATGTGCCATTTTGAAATAGGCATATCAAGAATTTCATTGTTTTATTGATGCATCCAGTTACTATTAGAAGGTTTAGGATTTTGTGGAATAAAAACCATGAGAATCTGAAGATACAACTTTGCACCTCTTTGATGTTGGTAGTTTTCTAACTTCCTTTTTAATGTCTGATTGTCTGAAAATCACATACATATATTCTATTTTTTTGAATCTTAGATAATTACATTTTCCGCAAGAAGAGATTCTAATTCTCAAAAGGCAATGAAGCGAATTTCTCTGATTGAAGGATAGAGTGGAAAGCGTGAAGTTTGTAAAGGAGAAGTTTATTTCCATAAAGTTTGTAAATAAAAGAAAGTTTCACTCATGGCCCTCACTTAATTAGTTTTAATCCTTAGAATTCGAGGTGTGCCATTTAGCAAATTCCATGGCCCTCGCAAAGTGCAAACGCGTGGTTGCTTTAGGCGCGTATTTTAATAATCTACCTTCTTAAACTCGGGTGCACATTTATGTGACCCAAATCCAAATCTCAACGATGTTAAAATATGTCAAAAACCACGGGTGCATTTATGTGACGTGGTTCGAGACGTGTTTTAATAACGTTGCAATTCTCTTAAAATAATAATAATAAAAGCGGTTCAAAGTTAAAAGTACATAGATTAAAACAGGTACTAAAATCAAACAAATAAGCCAAATATGACAGTTGAGCGACTGTGCTAGAACCACAGAACTCGGGAATGCCTAACACCTTCTCCCGGGTTAACAGAATTCCTTACTCGGATTTCTGGATCGCGGACTGTTAAACAGAGTCATAATTTCTTTGGTTCGGGATTCAACCGGTGACTTGGGACACCATTAATCTCCCAAGTGGCGACTCTGAAATCTTAATAATAAATCCCGTTTCGATTGTCCTTTAAGTGGAAAAACTCCTTTACACCCTGCGGGTGTAGGAAAAAGGAGGTGTGACAATTTCATCTTTAATTCATTCATCTAATATTCTTACTTATTTGGGTTGAATCAAACCACATATACCGCGTACAAATTTTTTTGTTATCCAATTTTAGGGTAAACAGTTTGGTGCCCACCGTGGGGCTAAGGATAATAGTAATAATTTAATACGAATCTCCATAACACATCATATTTTACGCTTGTTCTTTGAAGTCTTAATTTCAAGTCAGCCTAAAAATGTCAAACTCTTAGTCTGCTCACTTGAAGATTGACGCTGAGTTTGGCCATCATAGCGAAAATAATAACTCGGTGCCCAGCAACGAGGTGCCTCCTACCGATCCCAACGGTGTCCCAGTTGCCAATCCGGCCGATGCTAACTCACAGGTGGCCATCAACGTCAATTTGCCAACTGATCCCGAAAATAGTGTTCGCGGAGGACCCCGACAAACAACTCGGGAAATGCCCGAATGCGAAGGTGATAGGGTAAGCCCACATCTAATCTTCAAAATGTTGCAGGCTCAACAAGCAGCAATAGCACAGCTGCAGAATCAAAGTCTCGCTCCCAACAGGGTCGAGCCCGAATGATCCCGAGAAAGCACTCAAAGAGATGAGCAAATTATCGAGAGATCGGGTGAAGCCGAGCCTAGGGTAAATCCCGAGGTGATAAAGATGCTCGAAGAGTTGAAAAACGAGTGGAGTCGGGTGATAAGAAGATTGAGGCTAATGATGACAAGAAGGTGGAAACATACAATTCCAGGGTCGATCAGATCCCGGGAGTACCATCGATATTGAAGGGGCCGAACTCCAAAAAGTTTATCCAGAAGCCTTTTCCTCCGAGTGCGGCACCGAGGCCTATCCCAAAGAGGTTTCGTATGCCCGACATCCCTAAATACAATGGGACCACAGATCCAAACGAGCATGTGACCTCATATACTGCGCAACAAAAGGGGAAAGACTTGGAAGACGATGACATCGAGTCGGTGTTATTGAAGAAGTTTGGGGAGATTTTGCCAAATGAGCAATGATATGGTATCACAACTTGCCCCCAAATTCCATTGATTCATTTGCTATGCTTGTTGATGCTTTCGTAAAAGCCCATGCCGAGGCCATCAAGGTCGAGACCAGAAAGTCAGACCTTTTCAAGGTCAAGCAGAGGGACAACGAGATGCTCAGGGAGTTCGTGTCAAGGTTCCAGATGGAACGGATGGACTTACTATCGCGCCCCCATTTTTACCTTCGCGGGGAAATCCGGGTTTCGACATTCATGGGGGAACAACTCGTTTCCTTTTGGGAATTGGGTGTTTGAAGAGTCGCCACCTAATGGATTAAGGTGCGTAGGACAC